AAAAAAAAAAAAAAAAAAAAAAAAATGAAATAGACCAGCTGACATTGGTAGAGTGGTCTCCCCTCCTTTTGCGTGTCTCACTTATGCATCATATGTGTGTCCACGTTCGTAAGTGCCTCTTCCCTACAGCTTTCCGCATTTTATCATTTTCACAAATATTGAATGACCACGTTTTGTCCGCATTAACGTCCTTTACACGATTTCCCCCATTTTCTAAATCCATAAAAATGAGTTGAGGTCACGTGGGGGCAGGGCACGTCTTTTTATACAAACGGGACCCTCCGAATAATCACACTTTGGAGTGCTATGTACAGAAGACAAGCAACTCTTGTATTATACTATGCCTCACAGGTTCAGAAGTAAAATACCCCTTGGGCGGGGGAGAACTAAACACAGTAGGCAATTCTAAAGAATATTAATAAGTGCCCCTTCAAAATGGGGGAGGGCAGGAATTTTCATTATCGTCCAATCCAGAGGAAGTCTTTTTTTTTTTTTTTTTTTTTTTTTTGGCTATTTTTTTTGCGTCTCATATCAACCGTAATCAGCGTAAGGGCATAAAGATATGTATGCAAGTTTTGACCCATTCCCCACCTAACCGTGGTTGTATTCAAAATTGGTCATGCTGCCATCTCCTTTTGGTACATGCGTCTCTTACAGCCAAAGCGCAACCCTGGACTAAATATGGGGGCAGTTCTGCCATGTTTATGTTTTAAAAAAAAACTGCACCGTTTGAAAGCGATCCGCGCGCTCCTTTGCGAACGTAAAAACGGGGACCACAATTGTAGGGCGACAGAAACATGGGAACGCGCATAATGCAGAATCGTAGCTGTTCCAGCGTTGTTGACCCATTTCTTGGTGCTCGCTCAAAATGTGCATTGCGCAAAGAAAAAAAAAAAAAAAAAAAAAAAAAAAAAAAAATTACAACAGATACGGGGCAATTCCAGTTCCCCTCATTGACATCCTTTTGTTTTTTTTTTTTTCTTTTACGGCAATAATTTAAAATTTTGCACAAACGCAAAAAATTTGTTCATCTTTTTTTCCAAAGGCATACCTTTGAATTATGTACAGCGGGGATCCATCTGTTGCGATTTTTTGCCCGCGTCGTTGTTCTCCACGGAATTGTTCTCTGGTTCACCAAATTGGCTACGTAAAATCTTTGGTGTCCTTTTTTCCTATATTATACTGTAACGGGGTTGTAGCATGCCCCCTCTGCAAGCGCATTAGCAGCGCTTTTGCAACCAGGTGACAAGTACAGATTTGCTGCTATAACTCTACATTGCAACCAGGACGAAAAACGGCAGGAGAAAATGGTAAGCGCGGCGAAATACGACAACCGTAGAGCTCCTTTTTTATACGCGTTGCCCTTTTTAATGGGCCAACCGTCCCAACCCCCTCTCATGCCCATCCAACACCCGCCTTTTACAGGGAAAGTTCAAGAAAACGCAAAAGGTACTTAAGCTGAAGAGGGTCATCAACCCAAATGACAGCAGGCTTCAACAGAACGGCCAAAAGGAAGTAAAAAAAAATATTAACAAAAAGGACGACAAGGTAAAACAAGTAACCCAGATAGATAGTAACTTATTTTTTAATTACAATGAAAATCTAAGTCCACCATATAATATAATCCTGGACACGAACTTTATAAACTGTAGCATACAATATAAGTTGGACATAATAAAAGGCTGCTCAGAATTGCTGCTAGCTAAATGCAACATGTACGTGACAGACTGCGTTGTGGCGGAAATGGAAAAACTTGGCCAGCGATTTTCCTTGGCCCTAAAAATACTAAAGGATCCAAGATATATCAGACTGACCTGCACCCATAAAGGGACTTATGCAGATGACTGCATTGTCAACCGAGTCACTGAAAGCCGCTGCTATATCATTGCAACCAACGATAGGGACTTGAAAATCAGGTTAAGAAAAATTCCTGGTGTTCCCATTTTATATGCCAAAAATTTTAAGTACAGAATTGAGAGGCTACCGGATAACATTATGATATGACGAGGGGCGCCTATAACATTGGGGCTTTTTTCCCATTGCCATTAGGAGGGAAAACCCCTTCCCTTGCCTTCCCCACTTTTTCCATGTGTATATTAACGCTATGGGGTGGGGGTTGTCCCCAGGCAATTCACACTTGAGGTGTGTGTAAATACGCACGTATAGCTACCCCACTTTTTTCGTTCACATAAACACTTTTTAATATTCGTTTAACCCGTTGCGTTCATCTCCCCCCCCTTTTTTTTTTTTTACGTAAACAACCTAATTTGTCTCATAAACAGTCAAACCGTTTGAAGTTACCATCTGTGCTTCATGTAGCAACAGCGCGACATGGCCATTTTATGAAAAATGTATTGCACCGTTTGGGAAACTCACACGTGGGTGCTTGGGTAATTCCCCGAATTTTTTTTTTTTTTGTTTTTTGTGTCCACTTCGTATTATAATATATACCTTTTGGGAGGGACAAAAAAAAAAAAAAAAAAAACGATAGACGCGCTTAAACATTAGAGGAACTCACAAATTAGCATCATGCACAGTGGGGGCTCATAGTCCAATTTATACAAGCGTCCCGTCCTGTCACACGAATAAAGTGAGCCGCATCAAATGGCTCGCGTCAAATTGACCATCACAGCTAGCTAAAAAAAATATATATATGAACGTTCAGGCAAAAACACTACCTCGCAAGGCCTTTGCACGTGAAAAAAAAAAAAAAAAAAAAGGATTAACTCAGTGGTTCATTAATGGCTAGCTATCCAATTAGCACAACGGCACACACGGAATTACAAATAGCACGAAAGAAAAAGCCCCGTCTGCAGTATGTGACTCGTTAGGTATACTCCCTCGGGTATTAACGCGTGAAGGTGAAATGAGCAAACGACCTCTCCACCCCCCTTGCATCGTTCGCCTGAAAGGTGCGGATTAAGCGGCCTGTGTAGAGCTTTATGGCGAGCTACTCATATGGTCATATCTGAGTTTTATTTCGTTCACGTTTTCCTGAGAGAGAAAAAAAAAAAAATCCGTTTCTTTTTTGAAAGTTGCAAAATTTGGCGTATACTGTTATCTTTTCAGCATTGTTGCATTATCTTAGCAAAGCTCTCCCTTACGTCGACGAATGCTAGGGACATATCCGTTACAATGTTTCGATACCTGCAGGCGTGAACGCTGTCATCCCCTTTTTTTTCCCCAAACAGGTTTGCCCGAATATATGAACGACAGCCAATGCTGCTGTTGGATATGGAGCCTGTGGGGCAGAGGGAAATTGGTGTCCATGTGGCGCCGTGCGCATAGGTTTAAAACTCACACACACACACATCTTAGCATGTATACATATATGTGTGTGTGTGAAGTCACGTATAAAAAGCACGGTCAATAGTCCCGCCGCCGCCTCATAACACACTCAATGCCCACTTACACTTATAATCAAAGTAATTATGATCCCCTATGGTGGGGACATTTGCTATGCATGTCCCAGATCGGAATATATTATAATTGCCAATGTACATATCGACATTTGCACAATTGATAATGGTTATGTTGTCCTCAAATAAATTGTTATCGCCGATGTAGATGTTCCCCTTCTGTGAACTGATGTAGCAACCTGGGAATAAAATGTTGCCACTGCCTACAGTAACATTACTACCTGGGGTGGCTAAGAGGTAAGAAGGTTTTGTTATTCTTTGCCGTACTACCTCATTTTTTGCATGATGGTTGCTTTTCTCTTGCTTTTTTTTTGGTGTATCACTTTTGTGTGGACTTTTAAATGGGGAAAATGGCTCCCCATTTGTAACACTTCCGTTAAAGCGTCTGCTAACCGTTCTGTAACCTCCCCTGTAAAAACCGCTAATTAGCGCAAACTGCAAAATGTGCATATCCACATGACGGTTGAAGGGCCCTCTTCTTGCTTCCATCCAGTTGCTGTTTCTCGTAAGGTGGAAAGGAATTATATTGTCCAGGAAAAACTTAAAAAGACATTTTCTGATTTTTTTATTATATATATAATTTTTATTTCGTCGTAAATTTTTTATCAATATTTTTTTTTCACTATATCTTAACTGTCTCCACAATTGTTTACTTTTATGTTTACTCATTTGGTGAATAGTTATACACATTTTCCTATTTTTGTAAAATATTTTTTTTACTTTTTTTTTTGTGTTTTGTTTATGTCTGCTTATCATTCTATTGTGCACAATGGCAATCTTGAACAAGTTATTTACTTCCTCTTTGTCCATTCGACATGCTGTTGGTAGCGGTCCGTGCGCAACTTCACCCTCCTCAACGTCCTTCTCTAATCAGTTCAGTGGTGAAATGGGACATTCAATGAGTTAATTGTCAATGACGGTATGAAAGGGATGGGAAGGAAAAAAAAAAAAAAAAAAAAAAATGGAAAAAGGGGGAGATACACTTTTTTTTGTTCCCTCCCCCTCCCATGGAGAAGAGCCGATTGCGCGAGCAATCACCCTTTTGCAAGCTTTCACACACTTGGTTTGTTCTCTCAACTTTACCAAGCGTGGTCATGTCTGTACCAGTTTTTCCTAAGGGCAGATCCGTGCTCCGGAATGTTCCTCCAACTCTGCTCAGGATAGATGTCCCCACGTTGTGCGCTCTCGTTTCTAACCGACCAATGGTATTCAAATAAGAACACAAGGGAGACGAATCTATGCTCATATGCGATTTGAACATCTTGTAGTTCTGTAGAAGATGGGAGTGGGAAGAAATTGTTGCGTCTTCTTCATCGGAAAATGGAGAATCGTTGTTAGATCTAGAGTATCCCTCCTCTTGATGAGGCAAAATATGTGGTTCCTTGTTGGCACTGGTCCCGCTTCGTATCGATTTGAACTCTACATGGGAATTTGAGTCTGCGCGTGAGGTCTGCGATGAGGTTAGCGGTGTAGCCAGCGGTGTGATCGGAGATCCTACCTGCGACGTGGCTTCCAAATGGGCACCGCAAAAATGCCAGGCGGAATGCTCCCCAGACTGGCCACTGGAATGGTCCCACAAATCCGAGGAACCTGTTTTCCGCCGGTTCGTGTTAAACTTCCTAAATATGTTGCTACCCCCCCGTGCTGTTCCCCCATCATGTGCCAACCTTTTAAATTTGTACACGTACTCACTTAGCGAGTTTACGCGCTTATACGGATTTAGTTGTTCACTTTTTATGGAGGTACACGAAGCGTCTGTGGACGTTTTTGCTGAACCCCAACCCAGGAAACTGTTCGATTGTTTTTCTACACCGCTAGACGTGTGGGACACGTTAGAGACATGTGCTGATCCTCCCATGGGGGAAGACCTTTCTTTTTTCCCTATCCCTCTGGTACCCAAATTTAGGGAAGACAGCTTCACCAATTTGTCGTTGCTCATTGTGTGCATGCTTCACGGAGGAGTGGTGATGAAAACAAAAAAAACAAAAAAAAGCAAACAGGTCTGAAGTGTGGGAAGCAGCTGCAGGGTAGTAGCAAAATAGCTGCAAATAACTTGCTGAATGGGCAAAGTAGGGTAAACAACCTGTTCATTTGCTAACCTGACCAAATGCAAAAAATAAAAAAAAAAAAAAAACAGGAACTCACGGAGCAACACACACACATACGCACATTCAGAAAGAACAAAAATACGTTAAGCCGAAGGGAGGAGTGAAAATTAAGTTCAGGGCACTGGGTGAACACTTAGACATGGGAAATTTTCCATTAGGACGTTTTTCCTTTCCTGCCACGTACATGTAGGGCGCATTTTCATCACAGGTGCGTAACGCTTTTATTGGTCTTTTTTCCCTTCCTACACGTGTTTTACCCCTTGTGTTCATGGAAACGAAGCAAACGCGCAAAGGAAATATTTTTCCTCGCCTTGTCACCAGTTTAAGCTATACCCTTTTTCATGTAGTACATATGAAGTGCTAAAATGTGGGTGGCAATTTTAGCAATCAGGATTGAAAACTTTTTGGTATAAATTGGTTGCATATGTTTACGGCAAATGCACAATTAAGACGTGAGAAAAACCCTGTTGAAGCCCAATGAGCGGCTTCAATTATTTTTTTGTGTTTGTTTAAATGAGTCTTGTTGCTATTTTCACCTGAACGGGTCATACATTTTTTTACAACTGTTTCTATAAAGCCATCCCCTTTACACACATTTTTTGCCTCACAAAATTGAGTCTTACGTTTTTCCTTTTCCTTATTTTCTGCTTATTTTTTTTTTTTTTTTTCTAATTTTTCTTTTTAATTATTTATTCGTCCTTGTAGCGAAAATAAATTTTTATATATTGGATGAAAAAAAAAAAAAAATTCAG